TGTGTGTGTCTGTCTGTGTGTGTGTGTGTGTGTGTGTGTGTGTGTGTTTTCTAAGCGCCGCGCTGCTATTGTGTTGCAGGTTTTATCAGGTCTGAGCTGCAAACAGCAATACTCTCCCTCAAACAACAGATGTGGCCACAAAGGAGCGAGAAGGAGGGAGAAAATAAAATGTTTTGCCAATAACCATGCTAATGTTTGGAGGTGGAAAGCATATTCTTCTCTTGCATTTCTCCCATTTTAGGTATGGCAGAATCTTTCTCAGGCCAACCAGAGGGCTGTTTTGTTTAGTAGCTGCGTTTCATCATTTCATTAAAAGATAAGTCGGGTAAAAGCCTTTCGTTTGGTCCGAATGGTAAAAACTGGCAAAGGAGAGCATTTTCACTCCGGTTTCTCCACACGGACGCTGACACATCCAACAAGGCCTTACAAGGCCACTTTGTAAGAAATGTTGTAAATGTAGCATAAAATTAGAGTTATATTGATGATGCAGAAGCTAGCGAGCGGAAAAGCCCGTCTGCTAATTAGAATATTAATCACCCCCGTTAAAAAGCTCCAAGGTCAGTGAGAGCTGAAGGAGCTTTTCCATTTTTCATGATCCATCCACGGGACGCTTTTCTAGAAATAAAACGAAATTTGCTGCATTGGCCAACTACTTAAATGACACAAACACACACACACACACACACACACTGAAGAAAGATACAGACAAAGCCAACATAGCTGTGAAGGCTGGAAGGCAATGAGAGAGCAAAGGTTAGCGCAGGTTTTTGGTTGTAAACCTACCACGTAAAACAGTGAGTCGTGTGGTGGCGCTCGTCTCCCCAACACTGTTGGAGGCCACGCATTCGTAAATGGCTTCATCGCGCGGCGTCCGCAGTGGCTGGATTCTCAGAACGGAGCCCGATCCGTCATCGAACTCTATGACCTACAGGTGCGAGAGACAAGATATGTTACGAGAGTTTTTTTTGCCCACAGTTGACGACAGACAATCATGCTCTCACACACACTTCATCCTGACACAGAGCTCTGGACAGACAACGGACACCATGGCACGATGTTCATTTACGCAACCTGACGCAACAGTACGAACACAGGACACAGAAACAGTCTGGTTAAGATCTGCGGCCGGGCTGCGACTGGCTTCCTCAGAAACATGTGCAATTGCTGGTATTTTGGAGATCTCTCTTCTTGAAGCCCAGCGAACTCTGAGAGATTTGATCTTATGTCGTGTCCTTAACGATTGTTTCTTATGAACATTTGACCGATATGACAACGATCTTAGCTGAAGGTCACAACTGACTGTCTGTGCAAAAAACAGTCTGTTGTTAGTATGCCTCTTTTAAACACATAATTTAATAATTTGATTATGTTTTTTTTTTTAAGTCTCTTTGTGTAAATCATCATAAATCATTAGCATAAATCCTTTGGTAGTGTACATGGGAGTTAATTTTAATTCCAACTACTATACATGGGGACCAAGTAGTATACTAAAATTATACTAGAAGCATGATGTTATATTCACATATAATTATAATTGCAATATTAAAACTATACTTAAAAGTGTACTTTCACAAGCTAAAAAGTGGCTAGAAGTATAGAGCTAGTAAAAGTAGAGTTCACTTGTAGTATACTGTAGTTCATGAAATAAAAGAAAACAATGCAATGTAAAACTAGTTGTGTACTCAGAGTTTACTACTGCTAGCTACTCTTAAAATATGCATACAAGTATAATTTTACTAAAAAGCAGGCCAATTTAGTCCTAAGTAGCATTGAACATGCACACAACATACCTTCCAAAAAGAAGTATGCTTCAAGTTAATTGTATTAACTTAAGTGAAGTTCAAGTATATCTTTCATGTATACTTTATGTAGTAAGTATAGTAGTTTCAATGAACTACATTTCAGAACTAAATTGGCCCACTGTTTAGTTTATAGAAGTATACTTTCAAGTGCACTTTGCAAGTAACGGTAAACTTTGGGTACACCACTGGTCTTCTTTGTATTGCAACTATACTACAAGTGAAATCACACGTATAATGTTAGTTATATACTTCTAGACTTTATTCAAGTGCACTTCAAAATATACTAGTTTAATATTCCCTATGCAACAAGTATAATTGAATGCTATCTTTAAGTGATCTTTTCATCATACTTAAAATTTACTGTTTACTTTTTGTTCTTCTCTAAGTACACTACTAGCTTCCTATTTAGGTGATTTGTATACTTGAAATAAAGTTCAGTTGAAGTTCACAAATTGTTTACTCTGATAATGGCTTATAATAGAAGTCCGTGTGAATCATGTCTGATACAAAACTCTCACGCCTCAGAAGAAATGTCAGTAAAGCCTGCCAAATGTTTATCTGTTTCTGCGTGGGTTAATAACACTGTATACAAAAAAGGTCAGATTCATTTCCACCATGTATTATTTACTTTAAAATTTTCCACCGCGAAGCTGACTTATTATAAACTTGTAAAATATATGCTGAAGTTGAGTAAAAGAAACCAGTGTGTGTGAAGGAAACGTACAGAAAAGCTTAATGCACCATTCTACACCAAGTACACTTGGAATACTAAATTATACTTTTAAGTATACTTAAGTATATAACAATTAAACAGTATAAGCCAAGTACACTTAAGTGCAATTTTAAAATGAACTATACTTAAGCATATATCTCTCTATATATTCTGTCGTGTAATGCACTGGGCAGAAATCAGTCACCATGTATTATTTACTTTAAGTTTTTGTACTGCAAAGCTGACTTATTATAAACTTGTAAAATATATGTTGAAGTTGAGTAAAAGGAACCAGTGTGTGTGAATGTAAATAAATGAAAGCATTATTCGGCAAGTATACTTAGAATAATAAATTATACATTTAAGTATACTTAAGTATATAACAATTAAACCGTATAAGCCAAGTATACTTAAGTGCAATTTTAAAATGAACTATACTTAAGTATATCTCTCTCTACATATATCCTGTCTTGTAATGCACTGGGCAGAAATCAGTCACCATGTATTATTTTCTTTAAGTTGTTCCACCGCAAAGCTGACTTATAATAAACTTGTAAAATACATGCTGAAATTGAGTAAAACTTAAGTTAAGTATACTTAATTATATAACAATTGTAAAAGCCAAGTATACTTAAGTGCAACTTTAAAATTAACTATACTTAAGCATATATCTCCATATAGTCTGTCTTGTAATGCACTGGGCAGAAATCAGTCACACATGTTTGAGAAGCTGGCTTTGGTTTGTGTAAAATGCTCAGTGAATGTCTGAAGGCGATGCTAATTCTTAAGCCAGACGTTTCACGATAAACCCGGCGGCTTTAAGAATGGGACGGCGTGGTCTGGCCCACTCTTAAAGCAGATCGCATGAAACATGAAACGAGGATGGTGATGTGACGTCACAGGCACAAACGTCATCAGACAGTCGATTAGCCTCGACGCCAGACAGACGGGACACAGGACGCTCACAGACAGGTTTAGTTGCTGGCAATCGGGAGATGTATACTCACTTCTGACAGAAACAACCAGGACGGGTTCTCCGTTTTACAGACTTAAATACATCAGTGGTCATACGCTGCGGCTTTTCTTTCACTGTCACTTTTCACGCAAAGAAATGCGAGTATGACCACGCGCTCACATGCATGCACTTGTGTGTGCATGAGCCGGCTAACGAAGCCGAGTAGAAACTGAGCGTTAAACGAACGTTTGAACAAGATATTAGTAATGAGTTGCATGGGTGAAGGTGAAAACGCTGCATGGCGGATCGAAGGTTAGCATATTAGTGGATGTTAGTGCTGTGTAGCATGTGATGAACGCTGATAAGATTTCATTTCTGTTGGCGAAAAGGTGCCATATCAGGCGATAAGCGTCCATAGATTAGCCGCCGCTAAGCATTAGCGAACAGAAGATGAAGATGGTTGTGCGGCAAGATGATGCAGAAATTAATAAAAATCTTATCAGTGTTCAGCTGTGATGCGTTGGTTCATCATGCTGGGCTGAGATGGCGATCCAAAAACAGATAAATAAACATACAGGACTGAGCCATGCGCTGGGAAGCAAATGAGACGCTCAACACAAGAACAAAAACCACTTCTGGGAACCAAGTGCATTTCAGAAATGCAAAGCGCATGTTTGACGAAAGCATCTGATCCATCATTTCCTTAAATGAAGGTCATTCTTATGATCTCATGCTGTTGAGATCAGCGGCCGGATTCACGAAGCATTCTTATTTTACTATCATTGGGATTTTTTTATTATTTTATTTTATTATTTCTATTTTTGTAGTGTCTGTTTTCATTTTAATTTAAGGTTTTTTGTTTGTTTGTTTATTTTCCCCAAATATGACTGTGAGAAATTTTGTTTTGGCAACTAGTTGAAACAAAATAAGTTTAAACTTTCTTTCTTTTCTTTTTAGTTGAAGTTTTTTTATTATTTCCAAATAACAATTTTTGGATGATTTTAGTTTTAGTTAGTATAACCCTGCTTAAGAAAAAAAAAGTCTTAACTGCCATGTCCCCCTATTTTCTAACTTAAGTAGTATTTTTGGGAATACAATACTTTTTTTTTGCCATTGTTCTTAAGACAACCCCCAACTTGTCTTAAATCCCCAAACAAGTTTAAGAAATGTATCGGGTTGTATCAAATTAATTGTTACTTTGCACAATTAACAAACAAGATAAACGCACCAGACTGATCCATCTTAAGACAAGCTCATTTAAACATAATTATTTTAACTCGCATTAAAAATGTGATGTTGAGTGCTGGACTTTGGTCAAGCAAGTGTGCTTTTTCCAAAAATACTAACACATTTATTCCTAAAAACTTAAATAACTTAAGGAGAACTGCACTTAGGAAATACACTTTAGCTTTTATTACTATTGTTATTATTGTTTCCCCTTGTTTTTTCGAAAGACGATTTTCATGAATCCGGCAGCGGGACATGAGTGATCATGCATGTTAGTGGTGGGAGGATATGCTAATGAGTGGGTGTGGCTGAATCAGTGGGCGTGGTTAATGGGCGTGGCTGTCGTTAGCATTCACTTGTCGAGCATTTTACATCAGAACAATAGACCTAATACCTCAAAACGCTGGTTGCTCACTCTCTTCCCCTTCTTGTTCCACACGATCTTGGGCCGCGGGTCGCCCGAAGCCTGGCAGATGAAGGAGGCGACGCCGCCCTGAACGCCCGTCTGATCGTTCGGGGTTCGCAAGAACTTTGGTGGCGCTGAAAGACAGAAAGAGGGAAGATTACACAACTGATTCAGACAGATTACTGAACAGAGACGAGTTACACAAAAGAAGAAACACAATCAAATGAACAGAGCAAAGATGTGACGATAGTCCTATGAACACTGAAGGCAAAATCACTCATGAGGCAACTAAATGCATTTAAAAACATAATCAAGAAACATAAAATTGGTGAATGTTTTATATCAGAACAACAAACCTCAAAACTCAAGCTTCACAACTTTTACAATTTAAAGTTAAAGCACTTTTCATAAGTGTTTAATCTTTTTGTTTTCCCAGATCAATTGGTATTTGTGTGTATGCATACTATATATTTTTTATTTATATATTCATTCATTCATTCATTCATTCATTTTGTTCCCAACAAAGCATGAGTGGGCCAAATACGGCAGTCATTACCAACACACCAAACATTATAAACAGCAGTTTAATTTCCCACAGAAGTCTGTGTTTGTTAGTGATGGAGACGAGCGGCGACTGGATCAAATCAGAGACACAAGATCAGAAACACCATTTATTTTAAGAGTTTTACATCATGATCTGTGTGCTGTTTATTAGGCGTCATTAATAGGGCAGACGGTAATGAATCCCAGAGTCCAAAATTAACGCTCGCCACGATCCAAATGAGGTAAAAACTGCGTAATGAATATTTGTCCTGTAACATTTTTAGCAACATAATGCATGATTTAAATGCTATATAAGAACAACTCTATCTTGCTGATGTAAGAGTCACAAGATATCAAAATCAAACACATTCAGATGACTGAAACGCCAGCGACTGACACATGACTGAAGATCGAGGTAAAAATACTCAAATATGTCACACGCACCGCAGAGAAACAGTGTAAAAACAATCGACCAATCAAATGAATCTGGGGGCGGGATCTTGAGTGCACTCACACACTACTGTTCATTTAAAGAAGTCAATGTTTTTATTCATCGAGGATGCAATAAATTGATCAAAAGGGACAGTAAATACATTTGTAATGTTAAAAAAGATTTCTGTTTCAAATAAATGCTGTTCTTTTGAACTTCCTGAAAAATAAAACGCATCACAGTTTTCAACATTGATAATAATCAGCAATGTTTCTTGAGCAGCAAATCAGCATATTAGAATGATTTATGAAGATCGTGTGACACTGAAGACTGGAGTAATGATGCTGAAAATACAGCTGAATAAATTAAATTTTAACATATATTCACACAGAAAACAGCTACTTTAAATTGTAATAATATTTCACATTTTGTTCAAATAAATGCAGCCTTGGTGACCAGAAGGGACTTCTTTCAAAAACATTCAAGCATTATTATTATTTATTTACTATTATATAATTCATTAATATTTTAAATTAGTTTTATATTTTCAGTTTTAGTAACTTTGTTATGCACTTTCATAATTTTTATCAGTTTGTTTTAAATGACATTTCTATATAACTTTAGTTTTTGTTTTAGTAATTTTATTTAGTTGCCAATTTTCGCTTAGTGTTTCATCTAACATTTATACTTCATTTAATTTAACGAAACCGGTTTTAATAGTTTTAGTTAGCAATAAGAGCAGTGTCACATTTCTCGTATGATGGATCATGGCGGTGAGAACTTGTTCCCTAGTTAGAGAGCTGCTCGTGCTCGAGGCGGGCAGTTAATACAAGATGTGACATACGTATCCCATAGTCCCTGTCTATAATTGGATCTGTGAGCGGGGTGTCACCACCGCGACCAGAGGGATTTTACTGAGTCGTCCAAAATATCTGCCGTCGCTGCCAACAGCCACCGCCTCTCTCGTGCTCGCTCGCTCTGTACTTCAAAGAGCAGTTTCTCAGCATGTAAATATGTAAAATCGCATCTGGTGCGGCTGTCATACAGCTATCTGAACACGTGCCGAATAACACATCAAAGATGCGGCTGTCAGTGAATCTGCTCTAATGGAGTTTGGGTCGACAGTAAACCCCGCTTAAGAGCTCACGCTGCACATCAGCTCCAAACACGGAGAAACAGCAGCACACGTGTTTGTGTGTGTGTGAGTGTGTGTGTGTGTGTGTGTGTGTGTGTGTGAGAGAGAGAGAGAGAGAGAGAGA